TTATTTCCAACATTAAGTGGAGGGGTGTGAGTCTGGAGAGTGTGTGCCCAGTGAGGAGGAGGTAATAATGTCTTCTTATTATGACAGAAGGGGGTCCCAGCACTCTCTGTGGACTGGATGGGGGGTTCATGTCACCTCAACAAATCTTCTTCCTGCAAGTCCTCTGATGTGTAGGACATTAGATGCTGGGCTCCGCAGGGGCTGGGGGGTAATGGCGCTGTGGGCGTATTCATCAGATAGGCATAGCCCACATCTTATTGAGATACATTCACTCCTTGCCACAGAAAAGGGTTTTATTTACTGGGGGATGGGCAAAATATCTGTTTTGGAGGTGCAGTCTGGTAGTGATGGGATTTGGGGCGCAATGGCGGCTATACAGGGGCAAGAAATAGGCATCGGTTGCAATCTATGGCCAAGAAACTGGCTACAATGGCGATTCATGGGCAAGGAACTGGTTATAGTGGCAATACAAGGGCAAGGAACTGGTTATGGTGGCAATACACGGGCAAGGAACTGGTTATGGTGGCAATACACGGGCAAGGAACTGGTTATGGTGGCAATACACGGGCAAGGAACTGGTTATAGTGGCAATACACGGGCAAGGAACTGGTTATAGTGGCAATACACGGACAAGGAACTGATTATAGTTGCAATACAAGGGCAATGAACTGGTTATAGTGGATATATATGGGCAAGGAACTGATTATAGTGGCAATACAAGGGCAAGGAACTGGTTATAGTGGATATATATGGGCAAGGGACTGGTTATGGTGGCAATACACGGGCAAGGAACTGGTTATAGTGGCAATACACGGGCAAGGAACTGGTTATAGTGGCAATACACGGGCAAGGAACTGGTTATAGTGGATATATATGGGCAAGGAACTGGTTATAGTGGCAATACACGGGCAAGGAACTGGTTATAGTGGCAATACACGGGCAATAGTTATAATATATGAGCAGATAATGGGTAATACACGGGCAAGACACTGGCAATGGTGGTTGTCATGGCGTGGCCATAAAAATATAATATTGTGTGGCCTCTTGTCATAAGACGTCCTGGAAATCAATGTATTACTTGTACACACAATTATCACCTCGTTAGATGGAGAGTGTTGATGGAATCAGACGTGTTTGTTGTCCTCCCCCGGGAGGGGACCATTCCGCAGTGTATATATATATATATCCTTCCTGGTGGTTGTAAACAAAGCGCCTCCAGGCTGGGGGTGTCACCGACATGTAAGAAGTGTCACCTCACCTTGTGGGTATTTCAATGTTCAGAATGCTTAAGAAAGGTCATATGTCATAACCACTCCCCCGTACATCACATGATCACAGAACCTTCAGGGAAAGAACGGTGGCACAAAGGTGAGCTGCCTGATACCAAACATGAGGGCTTTATCATACAGTATGGCGGAGTTTCCCGATTATTGGGTCTCTTTATGGCTTTTCTGGTTCTGTTAGCTGTAGAGTGCCGGCATTTGGACTCTGTGGATAGCAGAACAATAGCTGGAACTAGAACCGTCATTTTCGGATCCATATTTCATAAGTGGAAGCAGTTATGAGGGTTCAAAGATGAATAGAAAAATTGTACCTGAGACCCAGGTGATGATATTCTGTCTCCAGCCCCTTCCATCTGATTGGCTAATCTCAGGGAGTGGAAACTGTGTGTCTGATTTGTGTGTGTGGGTACGCCAAGGTTCTAGCTGAGAGGATAGCTTGGGGGATCTTAGTGGGCGTGAGGAAACCCCTTAGGCTACCACACAAGCATTAGAGTAGACTAGATTGTATGCGAGATTTGCATCTGCCTGTGTGTGTGTCCAGCCAGCTTGACATGGGTGAGTCTCCCCCCAGAGGTGGCCAGCGGTAGTGCAGGAGACTGCAAGCGGTAACTCTAAAGGTAATTGTGCCTGGTGGGTGAGTTGACTTGGGTGAGTCTCCCTCCAGAGGTGGCAAGCGGTAGTGCAGGAGACTGCAAGCGGTAACTCTAGAGGTAATTGTGCCTGGTTTAGCTGACCTGTAACTGCTAGTGAGAGCCGTGTGTGTGGTCTGCAAAGCCTGGGTGCCAGTCTGTTTGAGCGCAGAGTGTACTGACTATGAGAGTCCAGGGAAAGGTTCTCCACAAGCCTGGAAGTTGTGGGTGGTAGCAGCTTAGATTAGTTAATTTGTGTGTGCGTGTTGTGTTACGGCTGTACCGTCACGCCCGCGGACTGGGAAGCGCTCTGGGGGTTCTCGTGACGATCTGCCAGTGCGCTGGAAGATCTCCAAGGATGGCAATAGCCCACGCATTATTCAGCGCTCCTTTACCCCCCCGGCGCCCCTGCCCGCCACCCATGACAGTGGTAATGCATGGGCATAAAACTGGCAATGGAGGCAAAACATGGCCAAGGAACTGTCAGTAGTGGCAGCATAAGGGCAAGATATGTTCAGTGGTGGCAATATACGGGCAACTTGGCAAAGCATGGACATAACATTGGCAATGGTATGGTGGTACTACATGAGTAACTGCCAGTGGTAGCAATGGCAAGAAAGGGGCAATGATGGTAATTCATGGGCAAGAAATGGACAATGGTGACAATACATGGGCAAGAAATGGGCAATGGTGACAATACATGGGCAAGAAATGGGCAATGGTGGCAATGTCAAAAGCAAACCTGTGCTTTACCCAGGTGTACATTAAGCCCCCCTTTCCCTTTGCTCCTCTATTGTGCTACTCAGGTTCCAGGTTAACGGAATCGGCCCAGTACCCCGGGGTATGTTGGGCCATGGGACTCTCTAGCTCTTTTGGGTCCATTTTGATTCACCTGAGCTAGGCGTATGTCAGTGGATTTTCTTCTCCTTGGTTTCTTATGTATTTTTCAGCCTTTGAAGGTCGTAGAGCCAAAATATGCGGCTGTTCCCGAAAAGAAGCTTGTGTAATTTTCAGAGTGTCCGGCAACACAACACTTGGGGGGGCAAACGGGTACAATTGAAAATAATGGGGCTCTTCATGTTGAGCTTTGTCACGCTGCAGGAACATGTGACAAAACATTTAGGTGTGACCGGTACCATTCAGTAGCAGCCACTGTAGGCATCATAGGCACTTTTTATGACAGGTCAAGATCACAAGGGAAAATCACCTCCCACATAAGGTTGAGTAGAGAAAACAGAATTCACACCACACGGGATGAATGTCTAGAAGATAGAGGCCTGATGATAGAACGGTCTACCTGATGACCAAGGTGTCCATGTAGATGTTTGTAGATCCTTTTTCCTTTTTTGTGTTGTAGATATTCTTTTAATAGTTATGATATTGTAAGCAAGAGGAGTGAGAGTACCTAGAAGGACACAAGGATCTCTACAAGGACATCATGATGGAGAACCGGCCGCCCCTCACATCACCGGGTAAGAGGAGACTTTCATTTCTTGTAAAGGAGAGAAGAGTATTGAGGACCCACCTAGATACACACACCCTCTGATATAAAGACATAGAAACAATGTACTCAGTCAGTGTGTGTGTTTCCTACAGATGGATCCAGGAACAGAAATACCCCAGAGAGATGTCCCCGTCCTCTGTATTCCCGGGATTCCACACAGGAACATCAGGAGATCCCTCAGACCCGTCCTCTGTATTCCCGGGATTCCACACAGGAACATCAGGAGATCCCTCAGGAGGATCAGGTAGATAGAACTGAGTTTTTTGTTGAACAATATAATGTTTTGTATTTTCCACTCAGGAACGTCAGAAGATCCCTCACCATTAACGAGTACAAGGAATTTGAGTAATAGTTATAGATATTAATCTGTCTCGGCACAAATCGGACCTTGTTCAAAGTAACTATATATATATATTTTTTAGAGTGAAGACCTGATTGTTGTAAAAGTTGAAGTGAAAGAAGAATCAGAAGAGCCGTATGTGAGCGGGGATGAGCCATGTAAGGAGGAGGAAATCCTTCCAGAGATCAGCACAGGTGAGGAATAAACACTCAATAAAAATGACCCCCGCACTCTCTGGTCTCTAATACAGAAAAACATAAGGGGCTTCTTTCTTCTTCTCAGCCACCAGAGTGACTCAGAGAAATGTCAAAACTGAGAAGGACAAAGAAGGACATGAGAAGATTAAAGAAGAAGAAATCCCTCCAGAGATCAGCACAGGTGAGGAATAAACATCCAGAAAAGAGTGCCAGATTCTCCTTGTTCAGTCACTACAACAATCTCTTCTTCTCCCCACTCCTCTGTCAGTAGACAGTAATGGGGGGACGGAATGTGTCCAGTGGGGGGAGTCAGGAGCCATCAGCCTCTATTAGACTCCGCCTATCCTCCTCACATCATGTCATTGTGTGCTACCAGCCAAGAGACGTGACCAGTCTCCCCCCACACACACTCTTTGGGGTTTCTCATACATCTCAGTACAGGGGGCTTCACTCTCATCTTTATTCACATAAACAACTCCATGATTTAAAAAAATCCACCCCTGTAGTGGGGCTAGCCTCGCACTGCAAGGGTTAAATGCTATTTTGCGAAGGGCTCAAATAAAGCAGATCTACTCACCCAATCCTCGGTCCTGCCTGGCTGCTAGACCGATCCCCGTAGCCTCTTCCCCCGGGCTCTGGCGGCCTAAAGTCTAGTGACATCATCACGTTTAATACAGGTCCATTAGAAGTGAGGACGCCAAACAATGCGGAGGGGGAAGAGAACTGCCGCAGGGCCGCGGATGGGGGGAGTGCATCTTCTTTATTTTCACCCCTAGGCCAAAGTGAGCACTTAACCCTTGCAGTGCACTTGCCCCTCCCACTGCAAGGGTGATTTTTTTTTTTTTTTTAAAGATCCTGAAGTTCTTCTCTTTATCTGCAGATGATGAAATAGAAGACGATGACGTGACAACTGATTCTACAGAAGAGAACCCCGTTACCCCAAGTGGCCTTTCTGTCTTTCACAGCGCAGATCTGTCCTCTGATCCCTCTATGCACAGGGGGACTTTTCCTAATCACTCGCCTCACGGTACCCGCCTTTCAGATCAGACAGGAAGTGAGGCGTTCTCATGCCTTGAGTGTAGCGAACACTTTTCACAGAAAGCAGACCTCCTCTCCCACCAGAGAGCTCACGAAGGAGAGAAGACCTATTCATGTTCAGAGTGCGGGAAAAGTTTTTCTCGGAAATCCAGCTTTATTCTACATCGGAAATCTCACAGCTTCGTGAAGCCGTCGTATTCGTGTTCTGAGTGCGGGAGATGTTTTGCGAGAAGGTCAACTCTTACCACCCATCAGAGGACTCACACAGGGGAAAAGCCGTTTTCCTGTACCAAATGCGATAAAAGGTTTTCCACCAAGCTGTCTCTTGTCATACACGAGGAAGCCCATATGAGAAAGAAGATGTATTCATGTTCGAAGTGCGGGAAATGTTTTTTGCAGAAGGAGCAACTTATTAAGCACCAGAAAAGCCACCCAGCCGAGAGGCCTTATTCATGCTCGGAATGCGGGAAAAGTTTTACTGAGAAGGGATACTTGATCTCGCATCAGATGATCCACACCGGGGAGAAACCCTTTTCATGTGCAGAGTGTGGGAAATGTTTTACCTGGAGGACCAGTCTTATTGAACATAGGAAAGCTCACATGGGGGTGAAGCCGCATTCTTGTCCGGAGTGCAGTAAAAGTTTCACTCGGAGGTCGAGCCTCGTGGAGCATCAGAGGACTCACGCAGAGGCGAAGCCTTTTTCATGTTCGGATTGCGGGAAGTATTTTGCTCAGAAACAGCAGCTCCTTCGGCACCAGAAGACTCACAGTGCCGATAAGCTGTTCTCGTGTATCAAATGTGGGAAGTCTTTTCCCGGGAGAGACCATTTCCTTTCACATCAGATGGTCCATCAAGGAGAGAAGGAGTTTGCGTGCTCGAAGTGCGGGAAGTGTTTTACTCGGAGGTCAAGCCTTATTGCTCATTTGAGGACTCACAGGGGTGAGTGGATGTATTAAGCACTTTGAGATCCGCAATGTTTATCCAAATGTCCTTTTGGACATTAAAACGGAACTTGAGCCACCAATTTAACTGTCTATACAGAGCTGGGGGTAATAGACCGCCCCATCACAGCTATATAGGAGTCCGGGGTGCTCGCCAGCTGCACGCTGATTGCTTCCCTGTGACTGTGATTATCCAGACTCATGAGATGCCATAAAGTCCCGCCCCCAGTCCATGACTAAGCCCACGGTTGGGTGAAATGAGGGGCGGGCCATTGGCATGACTTTATAGCATCTCACGAGTCTCAATGAACTTTATGTCGCCAGTGACGTCATTGGCGCATGGCCGGATTCTGTCTGCCTGGCCGTGTGTCCCTGAAATGGTGACCCTTAACCCCTTAAAGGCCCTTTCCCCTGCCAAGGCCTTTTTCGTTATTTGCACACAATATAATCCACATTCTAGGCCTGAAAATGACATCAAACCCCCCAAACATGATCTATTTTCTGAAAGGCCAGACCCTGTAGAATAAAATGGCGGCAGTTTCCAATTTTTATGTTGCACGATATTAACGCAACTCCTTATCATACCCACAATTTAGGAAGAAATGCACTTAAGTTTAATTGAGTGCCCCGAAACACAATAAAATACCCATTTTTTTTTAAAATATAAAAGATGAGGTTACAACGAGTAAATAGATACCCAACATACCCAGGTTCAAAGTTGCGTGCGTCCGTGAAACGGCAGCATAATCCAGTACCCTAAGAAGTCTATAAATGACACTTTAAAAGCCCCCACAGGTTATCAGTTTAGAGATGCGCGTAAATACTGGCCCTGGAAGGATTGCTCTCACTCCGGCGTGCGCGGCGATACCCAACATGTGTCGTTTTTGTACGTAGGCGCACCCAACGCGTGTTTACGTGAAGACGCGCGTGCTCACGGGGGACTTACATTTTTTTTTATTATTATTTTTACATTTTATTTTTTTTACTTTATGTGCTATCACATATAGAGAGGCTTACAAGCCCGCAGATTGGCAGTGACAGGTACTCTTTAAGGCAGAGATGGCCAAACTGCGGCCCTCCAGCTGTGGTGGAGCTTCAAATCCCATGAGGCTTTGCAAGATTCTCACAGCCACGACTCCGGGAGAGAGATGCATCATGGGATTTGTAGTTTCACCACAGCTGGAGGGCCGGAGTTTGGCCATCCCTGCTTTAAGGCGATGCTGGGGGTCCAAAAGACCCCCAGTGTCCCCTTTACACTCTGATCGCACTTCAATAGCTTCTAGCTGGGCTTCAGGAGCCGACCAATGACAGCTCTGGGAGCGGAAGTGATGCAATACGCGTCGCTCCCGGTCCCATAGAACGGGGAGATCGGTGAACGGACATTCGCTGATCTCCTCCCCGGCTTCCCGCCGACACCGGAGATGCCAGTAGGAGGGGCAGCGGAGCCTGGCAAACACGGCGGGGGGTGTCAGGTGGGGTAGGGGGGCGGGGACTTAACCGGCCCATAGATGCGATCTGACGGCACCTGAGCCGCCAGAATCGCTTCTGTTGTAAAGCCGACGGCCGGCTCTACAAATCTGAACGCCGCCGGGAGTCTATGCAAACGCTGCCAGTGACGTACTGGTCGCTAAGGGGTTAAGACACGCCAACTGTCAAGGTTGTCAGTGCCTTTAGTTTAGCTCTCAACCGATCTTTCAAGCCGTCAACCGGCTGGCGTCCGAGCTGATCATGTGTGCGGCACCATGACGACTGCAATCCAAATAGAGGCCAAGATGGCACCTTCCTGGCTGTATTGCAGGGGTAGCAAACCTCCGGCCCTCCAGCTGTGGTGAAACTACACTTCCCATCATGCATCTGCCTCTGGAAGTCACGCCTGTGGCTGTCAGGGCCGGAGTTTGGCTATCCTGGCTGCATAGGACAGGTGGGCGTAGTTCCACTTTTTAGCGTTTATGTATTGCATAGTACTACTCCACTGACGTGGTGGCTGCATTGTTTGTTTTTTCCCCAGCTTTGTTGATCCTGCCAGTAAGGATGAGCGTTGTCACCCAGTAGGACACTTCACCTTCTTTCCTCGGTCGACAACGCCCACTCGCCATACCGAATCTGTTGTCGCGCTCTGGGACTGGAGGGAATTTAAGGAGAAAGAAGCCCGGGCACGCAGGCGGTTAGTCTTACAGATTGTGAAAAGTCTGCGGCCCGCCAGTATGCTGCAGCGAAGGACCCTCTCTGCTCTCTGTTTAGAAGCAGCGGTCTCTCTGCAGCACACCCGCTGCTGTGTCGCACCCAGAGCTCAGCAATCTGCAAAGCGTATGCACCCCGCTGATTGGAGAGTGCTGACTTTGGCTCAGCACGGGGCGTCAGACCTCTGTAGAGAGGCCGCTGCTTCCACGCACAGATTAAAGGTCCTTTTGTACAGCATACTGGCAGGACACTGGCCTTTCTACTTAGGATGTGGCCACAATTTGCATAGTGTATGTCCGGCTTTAGTCTCCTCTGCTATAGAAGCTTCTACCTGCCGGTCAGCAACACGCTGAGCCGCACATACACAGGGTCTGCAGGATTCTTGCCGGCATGAAGCTACGTCGCCGTCAGGCAGCCAGAGACTCCGAACGTTGGATGAAGATGGGACTGCTGGGGAGAGACATCACAGGAGGGGATCGATGTGGCAGGTAATAGTGCCATGATGTGCATACTAGCACCAATGCAAGTGGTGGGCAACTCCGGCCCCCCAGCTGTTGTGGAACTACAAGCCCCATGAGGCCAGGGATGCATCGGTACTAGTATGGGTGCCGATGCCAAGTATTTGGGCGAGTACCCGTGCTCGCCCTAATGCTCCGATGCCTAGCCCAATACTTCCAGTATCAGGAAGCCGGGCAGCGAGTCATTACACACTGCTTCCTGATTGGCCGGCTCCATGCTCCCTCGTCACTTGCGACGAGAGAGCATGGAGCCGGCCAATCGGGAAGCAGGGGGGCATGTAATGACACGGTGGCAGTTTGGCCGGACAAGGGAGCATGGAGCCCGCCAACCTGGAAGCCGGGCGCCGCGTCAGTACATGGCGCCCGGCTTCTTGATTTGCCAGCTCCATGCTGTCGTCACAAGTGTGGAGGGAGCATGAAGCCGGCCAATCGGGAAGCAGTGTGTAATGACTCCTGATACCGGAAGTATGGGGCTAGGCATCGGAGCATTTGGATGAGCATGGGGACGGCTTCCGGGCTAAGCAGGGAGCCAGGTGGCCAGTCATTACACGCCGCCTGGCTTCCTTAATAGGACTTTTGGTATCGGTAACGGCGAGTACGGGAAAAACTATTGGTACCCGGTATCGGTGCATCCCTACATGAGGCATTGCAAAACTGACCGTTACAGGCATTACTCCTGGAGGCATGGGCCCTGACATAATGGCTAGAAGCTCCAGGGGGTCCCCTTGTTTTCACACTGACTTCATTACTATGTTCAGTCGGCTCAGGTAGTAACCCGCCAAGAAGTGTCGCGGATCTTCAAGTCACACCGGGTTGGTTTTGTGTTTTCTTTTAGATAAATCCGGTAACAGAAGTACATCAGAGAGCTATTCCGGGCCTCCATGTTCCTGGCCTCCCACACAGGAACATCAGAAGATCACTCAGGATGACCCGGTAGGTGGAGTGTAATTAGAAAGATCGAAGCTCTGGGTCCAAAGTCTATTGGAAGAAAAAAGACAATATTGTTTTGTTGGTCTTGTAGGAAGAACACATGAGTGACTATAAAGCTGAAGAAGAGACGGATGTGAGTGATGATGAGCCGTGTGAGGAGGAGGAGGAGATCCCTCCAGGGATCAGCACAGGTGAGGAATAAACACTAAATCCAGAAAAGAGTCCCAGATTCTCCTTGTTCAGTCACTACAACAATCCCCTCTTC